AAACAGCATAGCGAAAGTCAAAAGTTGAACGGTATACATTCATGTGATCGTACTAGTAAAATAGGTTTTTTTTTTTTAAAAAAACTTCAACATTTAGCAAAAAAATTAATATTTCGATTAATCGCTCCTATAAAACCGCTATGAAAATTAAAGAAAAAAGTTTGAATTTACATCGTCTTTATACTATTCAATGTTTAGAAATCATTAAGAAATCACACTGAACACCCTATTGTTCTAGTTCAAGTATAGGATAAAATATCTGTATACTTCTCACACCATTCTAAAGATTACAGTTTTGTACGCTAAAAATTGATGAAAGAAGTTTGAATTTACATCGCCTTTATACTATTCAATGCTTAGAAATCATTAAGAAATTATACCGAACACCTATTGTTCTAGTTCAAGTATAGGATTAAAAATAGCTGTATACTCCTTACACCATTCTATACTATTCTAATAAATTCTATATTAGATACTATGGCTGATTTTAGAACCGAAAGATCGACCGAATTAGTTAACACTATTAAATCGGGTATTTCTTACAATATCTACTTTATAATCAATTGATTAATAATCCATTTTTATTAAGAGAGTTCTTCATACTAAAAGAGTTCCTTAAATCGGTCTTACAGGGATCAGGACTGACCATATAAGTTTGTAATTAAGACAAAACAATTTTAACATTTTTAACATTTTAAATATTAAGTTGATAATATTAAGTTGATACTAGATTATTATTTAAAACTATCGTTATTAATACATTGCTTAAAAATTTCATTATGGCTAGCTATTTTATTGTCACCTTTATACTTCTTTACATCTCTAATGTATGTGGTACCCAATTAGCTGTTCAAGTTCCTAACAGAGCAAAATGCTTGTTGGCAGAATATGTTCCTGCATATGGTCTTGGTTATGTTCCGCATATGGTCTTGGGTTATATTACTGGAAATCTATTTTTTATTGATTTGGTTGATTCAGAGGGATACTATCATTTTCGTAACGCTTTGCCTGTACAAACAAACCTTTCATATAAATTTATTGCTTATTCTGATTATACTCCCAATTAATGTTGTTAGACAAAACCTAAGGGTTTTGTTAATGACAAAAGTCGAAACTAGGTTTTGTCTTTTGTCAAAAAATTTTTAAAATGACAAAATGACGAAAGCTGACGAAAGGTGACAAAACTGACGAAAGACAATAAAAAAATAATAAATAAAATTAATAAAATTAAAAAATATATTTATATATTTATAATAAATTAAATATAAAAATTTATATTTATAATATATTCGTTTTAAAATAAAAATATAATCTACTTTAAATAGGTCTGTTCACTTCACCAACATGCCATTCATCGACAATCAATTCATCAACAAGTTTATTTCACTGACAGTTCATTTTCACCGACTAACCTTAAACAGACAATGGCCAGTCAGTGAAATGACTGTCAGTGAAATAATTAACTTGTCAGTGAATTGATTATCAGTGGAATGGCATGTTGGTGAAGTGAGTGTCGGTGAAATCAACGGAACCCCAAAAAATCATATATATTAATTTGTTTCTTTATTAATTACCTGCTTATTAAATATTGAATCAGATACTTAACAGATATAAAAAAAAAACTATAATATCTATTTATTAATTTACCTTTATAATTATTAACTTTGCTATTAAAGTTTATAGCAACGATTTATACATCTACAGGATTTAATATGTGACTTTAATTTATTTTATACTGATTAAAAATTATTATAATATCACATTCAAACTATTGCATAGCCTTTAATCAGGGATTATACAAAAATAATAACTTTGTATCTAATCAATAATACAGTTTTTAATCAAAAACCATTTAAAAATTATTATTCTGGATTTAAAATATAGCATCGTTTTTAATTAAACATTATACAAAAACAATGGCTTTGCATCTAAACAATGACTTCGCATCCAAACAATGACTTCGCATCCAAACAATGATAAGTTTTTAATCCAAAAATAATAACTTTAAATCAAAACAATAACATAGCCTTTAAGGCTTTATTTTTA